ATCACAAGGTTTCTCTCATGGACCAGCAACTGTAACCTTGCAACCTGCTTCACCCAAATAACAGGTTTGGAAGATCATCTAGTCTGAGGGTCTGCAAACTACAGCCTGCAGGTCAGATCCTGACCCACACCTTGTGTGTGTGTTTGTGTGCGCACAGTCCATAAGCTAAGGATTGTTTGTACGTTTTTCAAGAGTTGTAAAAAAGAAGAAGAAACTATGACAGAAACTGTTTTGGCATGAAATGACTAAAATATTTACTGTCTGGCCCTTGTCAGAAAAAGCCTGCCAAACCCTGGGCTCGTCTGACTGCCTGATACAGTAAACCTTTGTACAATATGACTTGGCAAATAATCATCTTAATATATGCTTGAACACTTCCACTAATGGAAAATTCATTATCTCTCCGGCCAATCTGTTTCTTATTTGGACAATTCAGGCTATTAGTAATTTGTAAAGTCTGCTGTAATTTGTCTCATTATTGCCTCCATGTAGTGGCCCTTTTTGAGGGGAAGGGAACTATTATTTCATGTCAACATTTACTGAGCTCCTAATATATTCTAGGCAGTGTGGTAAGTGCTGAAGAAAGATGAATAAGACATGATTGTTGCATCAGAGATCTCTCAGGTGTTATTTCTTGGAACCAAAGCAGTTGTGCTGGTAGTCTTATGTCTCCTTCATTCCCCATCTTGCCATTGGGTTAGGACTTTTTTCTTTAATTATTGTATTTATTTCTGTATTGTTGTTCTACATACACAAAATTCATTGTATTTTGAACACAAAATTCATTGAAGTCTGAACCCAAAATTCATAGGGAATAGGGCCAGACAGTTTAAAATAACTCTCTCCACACCCCTGTCTCCCAACTCCATAGCTTCTTTCTTGGGAGGCAAGCACTATTACCCATTTCCTGTGGGGATTTGACTTTGAAGAATAGCACTACCCAAGGTTTAGGACCATTTGGACAGGAACTTTTGGTAAATATTCAGACAGTGGTATTTTTTGAGCTTGTCCTTATGTAATTTGCTGAGTGTGACTTAGTTTTATTTTCATAAAAGCCTAAAATTTGCACCACTTTTGGGTGGTAGACACAGCCCCAAAAGGGTGTGTATTGCTTAACCACCCATCTGTGATTTCAGTTTAACCTTGGCTGGATGTTTTGGTTACTGCTGGGATTCTTTTCCATTACAGCATTGAATCTTCATCAAATCCTTTCCTCTTTCAGTGGAAGTGACACAATCCCATCTTGTGTAACTCCTGGGTTTCACATCCCGGATATGATAGAAATAGTCTGAAATAAAGTTAACCCACACTTATATTGATGCCTCTGTCAGTTTCTTTCCTGGAATATGTCCGTATGTAGTGTTGAGGTATGATGAAAGTCATATTTTAACTTTCTAAGCTAAGCAGAAGCTAGAATTCTGACCTTGGGATATATAGGCAAGCCTTAATTTTCATGAAGCAGGTGATGTTTGGATATAGGTTAGTTACACATAAATGACTTTGCACCTGTAACTTACTGCTCCCTCCAGATTTCTATTCTGATCATTTTCTCTTAAATCTTCCCTTCCAGTTTAAGGAAGATAGCAGTATGACATAGATGTATAGGTTCCTAAGTGATACATTTATACTTGCATATCATATTTAGATGTTTCCAGCAAATTCCCCATCACGTGTTGCTGCTGCTGTTGCATAGGACCCTTCTGTTTTCTGAGCCTGTCAAGCAGGAGTTCAGCAGCTGAATACCAACCACATCCTCTTGTGAAATAGGCTCTTGGGTTCTGTTTGAAATTTCTCAAAGATCAAATAAGTCAGAAAATGTTTGAAGGATGTGCCTTTTATGTAGATTACTGTCTTAGTATGCCTGTCGGTTATCTTCTAAGTGGTCTTCCTGAATCACTTTTTCTCAGCTACTGAGGTGCTGTACAGAAGAGTTTTCTCTTTTGTTTCTGGCGCTGGTAAAATTCCATCTTGATGACCTCAGTAGGTCATCAAGATGATGGTGAGTTCCTGTTAACCTTTAAGAGTAAGTTGTGGATGACTAAAGCATTTAGGGACCTGATGACCCATCCCGTGGAGGATCTCAGAGATCCATTTGTACCACTGTCTGCACTGTGTTGATTTCCTTCCATATTGGACGATTACTCTGGCCGTGACCTTTTTCTTTTGACCCTGTTGGAGAGGAGGTTAGTATGTAAATGGTTTTCAAAATGGTTATTGTTTTTAGCATATGTGGGGCTGATGGGTAATATTCAGGCTCTGAGAAGGGATGTCTTCTTTCAAGGCGATACACTATAGTGATGAGAGTTGGGGCTTTGCTGCCAGTCAACCTGGGTTATAATCTCAGCTCTTCTACTCCCTAACTGAGTGACTTTGGGCAAGTGACTTGATATTTCAGTGTCTCCATTTCTGTTCTGTAAAGTAGGCACAATGCAACCACTTTGGGGTTGTCATCAGATAATATGTAGAATGTTTAGTGCTTGGCACAGAATAAACATTCAATTAGAACAGTTACTACTGCTGCTGTTATTTAAAAAGTTTTTTAAAAGGTATGATCAAAAAAGTAAGTATGATTCATGATGGCAAATCCTGTAATGGAAGTTTTCATCTGTCATTACAGAGAAGGGGGCCGTTGATGCCCACTGACTGTGGGCATTAATGAGAGCTTCATCAAGAGTCTTAGTAGATGAGAGGAATTTCCCTGGTAGAGAGGGGGAGAGGTCTCCTAGGGAAAGGTGAAAGACTGGGAAACTCTCTGTGGAGTAAAGCCAGTAAGATTTTGTTTGTTTAAACAAGGGAGCCCCTGCACAGATCAGATCTGGTGGCAACGTGACAACTTGTTTGGAGAAGACAGGGACAGAAGGCAGTGACCTGTGAGCATGTTACTGCAGGAGCCAAGGTGTGAGATGGTGGGCCTGTTGTGTGGCGGGGAGGACGGAGAGAAGAGAAGCTGACTTGGACAGGAAGCACGAAATCACATGTTTGGAATATGGACTTTGGGTCCTTGTCCACTTCCCTCTTCCACTTTCCTACCTGTATGTCCTTCTGTGGACTTCTTACCTCTCTCAACCTCAGTTTCTTCCTCTTTAAAATTGGAACTGTCACTTCCTAGGGCTTTTTGGAGGAGTAAATTCAGGTGCACACCCTGCTGTGGTGCCTGGTCCCGGTTAATGCTGAGTAGCTGTTGCTGTCATCTTCGTCTCATTCCGGAAGCCCGTTTAAGGTTGAACCTCTAGCAATTAGTGATTTATTGAATGTGAGAGAGAGGAAAATTGAAGATGACTTTGAGGTTTCGACCTTGGATGTAGGTGGTACTATTTTGTAAACTAGGACATGCAGGAAAAGGGGCAGAATTTTGCAAAAAGAAATGTTTAGTTTGGATTTGTCAAACTTGAGACGTCTCTGAGAAATCCAAGTCCTGGCTTTAGTATACGTGTTGCTAAAGCGAGCACATCCAAGTCCTGGCTTGCTTGCCTGACTGCCTGCCTTATTTATTTATTTATTTATTTATTTATTTATTTATTTAAATTTATTGTCAAATTGTCTTCCCTACAACACCCATTGCTCATCCCAACAAGTGCCCTCCTCAATGCCCATCACCCACTTTCCCCTCTCCCCTTCCCCCATCTCCCCTTCCCCTCAGTTTGTTCTCTGTATTTAAGAGTCTCCTTTGGTTTGCCTTCCTCCCTCTCTGTAACTTTTTTTTCCCCTTCCTTTCCCCCATGGTCTTCTGTTAAGGTTCTCAAGATCCACATATGAGTGAAAACATAAGGTACCTATCTTTCTCTGACTGACTGACTTCACTTAGCATAACGCCCTCCAGTTCCATCCACGTTGCTGCAATGGCCACATTTCATTTTTTCTCATTGCCAAGTAGTATTCCATTGTATATATAAACCACATCTTCTTTATCCATTCATCAGTTGATGGTAAGTCCTGGCTTTAAACTCACTTATACAGTTGGCCCTTGAACAACTTGAGGAACAGGGTGCTGATCCCTATCCATGCCAACTTTTGACTCCCCCAAATCCATGTATAACTTCTGACTCCCCCAAAACTTAACTACAAATTATATATATTTATCTTAATTCCAAAATCAGCCAAGTTGGGAAAACTGAAAGCTAGGTAATAATCTTGGCTCAAAACTCAGGCAGTAGGTGTGAACGATAGTCATAGTGTGACTCTTCATACCTTCTGCTGTAGAAATATTGCTCTGTCAGGGATGGACAGTGATGGACAGGATGGAACATGAAGAGACCTCCCCCACTTCTGCTTTTTGGAAATATCAAGTTCTCTAGTGTTGTGCTGGAGGAGGTGTATCCCTGAGAGTGTGTGCAGGGGTAGGGGAGTTATAGTGTGTGCATGCCTGATTGCTGGGGGAGGGGTCAGAGGGAGATTTCAGGAGGAGAAATATTAAAATACATATATAGTAGAGTAAGATGCAAAGTTTCCATGCATTTAAAAGATAAAAGATGAGATGTCAAAAAAAAAAAAAAATTCGGGTACTGTGGTTAGGTGGGCCAGAAACTTCTTTGTTCTCCTCAGGTGGGGGGTGCTCAAGTGCTTTCATTCAGAGCTGTGACAGGGCTTTGTGTTTCTGACCAGCTGGGCCTGGGTTTTTTACTTGTGAAGTTCTCCAGGATCACACAGGAGGGCACAAATTTCTGAGACTATGATTATGTCGAAGAAGGAGTAGTAGCACTTGTACACCAGTCAGACCGACTTGAACAAGAAAGGAAGATGCACAGAGGTGAAGGCCAGAAAGGCCTTAGAAAAAGGACTTCACTTAGAAAATCAGTTGTGTTGCCAGGAGGCTAAACTTGGCAACACGGGCACATTACTCAGGGTGGTTTTCAGTTATGTCTTCAGGTAGCCTGCATAGCTCCCATCATTTTTTGTTTGTTTTGATTATGCCTTATTATAAATGTTTTTTTTTTTTCTTTCTCACCACATTTGATGCCATTTTGCTGTGTTCCGTTTTGTTTTTTAGTAGGCGAGAAATAATGGCAGCAGCTACGGGGGATCCTGGGCTCTCCAAATTGCAGTTTGCTCCCTTTAGCAGTGCCTTGGATGTTGGATTCTGGCACGAGTTGACCCAGAGGAAACTGAATGAATATCGTCTGGATGAAGCTCCCAAGGACATTAAGGGATATTACTACAATGGTAGGAGACAGTTCACTCTGTATGTCATCATCTTCTGTCACCTTCTCTGCCCTCTAGAATAGGGTCAGCTTTCCTTTAGAAAGGGACACTCTTGTCTTGTATAATTAATGATCTTCACTGTTTTCTATTTTTACTTCTTGTCTTAATTTCTTTCGTTCGTTCATTCTTTAAATTTGTTTATTTGCTTATTTTTATTTGAGTATAGTTCAGCCACAATGTTACGTTAGTTTCAGGCTTACAGCATAGCAATTCAACAAGTTTATACGTTATGCTGTGCTCACCACAACTGTAGCTACCGTCTGTCACCATACAACATGATTACAGTGACGTTGACTGTATTCCCTATGCTGCACCTTTTATCCCCCTTTTACTTCCTGACTTTTGACCCAAGTTCATTTTCACTTCTTTCCCTCTGTTGTGGGGAAAAGAAAGGGAGTAGCGAGACCCCAGTTAATTAACCCAAAGAATGAATACTGATTACTTAGAATTGCTGGGGGAGGAGATTAGAAATCATTTCCCCCAGTGAATCTTTCTTTGTTTTTTTTTTTTTTTTTTTTTTTTTTTTTTTTTTTTTTTTTTTTTTTTTTTTTTTTTTTTTTTTTTTATTCTTGACAAATTTCTGAGATTCAGAAAAGCTGTGGCATCTTCTGCTAAGTCCCTGTTGAGTATGGATGACCAGAATTGCACAGGGCAGTTTGGGCTCAAGAAAAAGAACAAAATTATTCACAAACGTTTTAGTTATGAATGCTGCTATTACTGACTCATAATGGAAAATGTGATAATGCTTCTGTCCAGGTGATTCTGCTGGGCTTCCAGCTCGCTTAACATTGGAGTTCAGTGCTTTTGACATGTGAGTATTTTTTTTTTTTTTTTTTTTGCTTAAAATCTAAAAGTGTTTGCTTTTTGTGAGGAATGAGCATTCTTAACTTTGCACATAGGTGAACCACAGGGAGAACTGGGGGAGCCCCCGGGAGCAGGGCCAGGTCCTTGATTCTTTTGTCCCCATTATAGCACAGAGACAAGTGTTAGATGCTTAGGACTATCAGATATATTATTTTCAGCAGGTAATTATCATAGCCTGTTAGGTCCAAGTATCATCTAGATTAATTGAGATTTAGATAATATCCCACCTGCTTTTGATTTTAGTTAGTATTTTGTGATCCTTTATTGGTACTTCTTGACTTACTCCTTTATATGCCTATCCATGGGCATCAGTGAACATATTTATTAGACTACTTCTGTATACAAGCCACTGTGTAAGGCATTATATAATGGGAATACTCAAAGAAATATGACATATCCCCTCAAAGAGTCTTTTTCCCCTGGTTGAAGGCCACAGGGAGTGCTGGAGAGAAGAAAGATATTCATTAACTTAATTATGTGGGTGTTTTCACATACATAATCCTTTTCAGACCTGCCAGATGTGAATAATCTCTATTTTTTCAGACAAGGAAACAATGGGTCAGAAGGTAAAGTGGCTTGCCCAAGGTCACATGTGGCTAAATTTAGGAAGCAGGGATGAGAGAAAAGTGAAGTATATTTCTGAGGTTGTAGTCTTAGTAGCTGGGGGCATTTTATTATCTTCTACAGAGATAGACCAGGAAGTGGATACAATTTTAAGAAGAGGTAAGCTTGGTTTAGAACCTGTTGAGTTTGAGATGACATCATCTGGTAGAAATGCCCTGGAGGCACTGGAGTCAAGGAGGAAGAGTCATCCAGGTAGAGGAGTCGTGAGGCCAAGAGAGAGGAAGACTGTTGTGTAAGAAGAACAAAGGACCAGAACAGTGAATGGATCTGACTGGGGAGTCTGCAAAGGAAGACATGGAACTAGCAGAGTAGGCAAGAACTGTCGCAGAGGAAGAACCAGAAAAGCATTACAGAAACCAAAGATGTATGCTTTCAGGAAGGAAAGAGATGATCAACAATATCAGAAACAGAAAGGTCAGAGTTCAGTGCAAGGGTCATTGGATTTGTTGATTAGGCCCTTTGCAGTTCTTGAGAATTGTTTCCCAAAGTGAATTTTACACAGAAGGGTGGAGCAGAAACCGTGTTGAGGGGCTATAAGACAATTAAAGGTTGAAGAATGGAAAGCTTCCGAGTGGTCAACGTTTTTTGCTTTCTCCACATTAGCAGTATCAAGTTGCAGGAAGTGGGGAAGGCCAAGTGGTCTTTGTAAGTACTGCTTGGCTTTTCAGAGTAGCAGTAGTCAAAGATTAGGGTGTTCCGAGTAAAGTATCCCTAGAATATATCTTTTATTTTTATTTATTTGTTTATTTATTTTTGGATTTTTAAGTTTTTTTTTTTTTTTTAATTCCAGTTAGTTAGCGTACAGTGTTGTATTAGTTTCAGATATACAATGTAGTGAGTCAACCTGGTGCTCACCGTGCCAAGTGTACTCCCCAGTCCCCATCACCTATTTAGCGCATGCCCTTATCCCCTGCCCCTCTGGCAATCATCAGTTTGTTTTCTATAACTAAGAGTCTGTTTCTTGATGTCTCTCTCTCTCTGTCTCTCTTTTTTATCCCCTTTGCTCATTAATTTTCTTTCTTAAGTGCCACATATGAGTGAAGTCATATGGTATTTGTCTTTCTCTATTTCACCTCCCATTATACTCTTTAGCTTTATCCATGTCATTGCAGATGGCAAGATTTCATTCTTTTTTATGGCTAAATAATATTCCATCATATATATTATATATACACACCACATCTTCCTTATCCATTATATCCAATTATACACACACACACACACACACACACACACAAGTCAATTGATGGACACTTGGGCTGCTTCCATAATTTGGCTATTGTAAATAATGCTGCTGTAAACATAGGGGTGCATGTATCCCTTTGAAACAGTGTTTTTGTATTCTTTGGGTAAATACCCAGTAGTGTGATTGGTAGATGGTAGGGTAGTTCTATTTTTAACTTTTTGAGGACCCTCCATACTGTTTTCCACAGTGGCTGTACCAGTTTACATTCCCACCAGCAGGGCATGAGGATTCCTTTTCTCCATATCCTTGACAACATCTGTTGTTTATGTTGTTGATTTTAGCCTTAGAATGTATTTTTTAAATCTCTCCAAAAGTCAATGCATTTGATTCCTGTATATCAAATTGCAAAATTTAATTGCATAACATAAATCCAAAATGATATTAGCCCTTTCCTCTATAGCAGGTAAGTCAGAGATTTGATATGAGATAAATAATACCCCATACTTTGAGGAGAAAGAATGGCTTAGGATAAATAAAATGCAGTCTTGATAAAAATATATTAGTCTTTACACCTTTAAAAGGTATGTGTTGGTGTTTCTTGTTCTCTTCAGAGGTTTCTTGCTCTGTAATAAATTCCTTGTGATTGCTTGTCAGAACAAATTAAATCCTAGTAATCGATCTCTTGTTTTGGTAGAGACTAACTTACCTTTGAAGCAATTGCAAGATAATAAGGAAAAGAACCAGCAGAGTACAAGCATTAAATTATCTGAAGATGATCAAGGGAGTATATCAACAGTGTAGTTTTAATGTGATCTGGAGAATCTAACATTCCTTGCAAGCTAGACTTGCTCCCACCTTTATTCTGACACTAGATTGGTTTTAATGAAGATTTTAATAGTTTTATCCTTTGGAACAATCAACTATAGAAAAAGCTGTTCACAGATGTTAGGTTTGATCAGATAACAAAATCCAAACATCTTACACTTGAGTGATCCAGAAATTTTGGTTGAAGGAGATAAGAAAATCTGTGATCGTGCAGGTATGACTTTTACATAAATTGCTCTATTTGGTCATATTTTTTCATTGTGCTGTTGAATACTCACAGTGTGCAAGGCTGTGTGGTGAGCCCTTGCGGGGATGAGCAGGAATGAGACAGGGCCCCAGTGGTGGAGCTGGACCTGGAAGGCCTGTATCTACATTGGATTAACTCTGTTACCTAGGATAAGTCTTTTTAGTTTCTTCCTCTTCAGTTTCCTCATCTCGAGCGCTTGGCTTCTGATGTTCCTTCTGCTTTTAAAAGTCTGTGATTTTCTGAATCTCTCTGTCTTAGGATGATTGGTGCTTTGGTCTTAGTTAGTATTTGTGTCCCTGCCCAAATTCATATGTTGAAAACCTAATGCCCAAGGTGATGGTATCAGGAGGTGGGGCCTTTAGGAGGAGGTTAGGTCAGGAGGCAGACCCCTCATGAATGGGATTGGTGCCTTATAATAGACCCCCAGGCAGCTAACCCGCCCCTTCCACCCCTTGAGGGAGACTTGGGCAGTCTGTGACTGGAACAGGGCTTTCACCAGAACCTGACCATGCTGGCACCTTGATCTTGACCTCCAGCCTCTAGAACTATGAGAAATAAATTTCTGTTGTTAATAAGCCACCTGGTCGGTGGCATTTTGTTGCAGCAGACCAAACAGACTAAGGCAGCTAGGCAGTGTAATGAAAGTGCTTGGAGCTCCACAGAAGAAAGGAGTTCTTCGTATCCAAATTATTTTCATTATTAATCTTCCTTTGTTTCTATTGCTGTACATTGGCTTGGTTTGTAGGGCAAATCTTTATAAATTTATTCATCAGACACTGAATGTCTCATAAGTGCAGGATGTGTAGGTGTTAGGAACACAAAGACTTAGGAAACAGAGCTCTGGATAGAGGTAGAAAACAAATATTTGCATTGTAGTGTGCTCTGTGCTATAATACATGTGAAGAGGTAATCATTATTTCGGAAATACTTATTGATTGCTTCCTCTGTGTTGTAACAATAGAACGTGGTAGGCACTGGGCATGCAGAGAAGAATAAGACACAGCTGAAAAGCTCTCAGTCCTAGTACTCGTTTATAGATGCCAGGCATATCTCAGCTTCACGTAGCCCCAGATCAATCCCTTATCCTTGGAGTCCCCGGAAGCCTAATGGGGACTCTCTGCCAGCAGTTAGCACCGTAAGATCCTCCTCCGTACATGTATTAGGCTCAGTTAGTGGTGAAGTAGTATTTTGTCAGGCATCAACTGTCTTTCACTGGAGATTGCTGTCTTTGGGTAGGGTATACTGCTGAACCGGTCCCACAAATGTAATGGCCCAAACACAAAGGAGGTTTATTTCTTGCCCACTTAATAGTCCAGTGTTCTGGACTATGGCTGCCTCATTCTGGAGGGCTTGCTTGCAACTGAATTGTCAGGGGCATCTCGTTGGCTCAGTGGAGTGTGCGACTCTTGATCTCAGGGTCGTGAGTTCAAGCCTCACATTGGGTGTGGAGCCTACTTAAAAAAAAAAAAGAAAA